AGTTAATAGACAAAACTGATTAACCACAATTAATGTATGAATGAAATTATGTATTTTTTTTTGTAAAACAGTTACTGTCAATAGTTAAGTAAGAATTTAGTTAGATTTGAATTGGTATGAGAGGTCCTGACTAGGCAACATGTGTGAATACTATCAAGTGGTAGTGATCTGCCATGAATTCATATGGTAGTTGGGCAAAAACTGTTGGTGATTGAAGTGAAATGAAAATCTGGTAAGTAGTCGAATCTCGTAGCTCAGTTGGTAGATCATCGGGCTGTTACCTGGGTAGTCACTGGTTTGAATTCAGCCACTGTTCAAATTTTCATTTTAACTTCAATCATCACCCAATATAAAATAATACTAGTCTGTGAATAATGATAAAAGTTAAGATGTTTCTTTTTGACACGATTTATTGATATATTTGGTTGTTTCGGCAATTTGATAAGGATCGGTTTGACACTCGACATTTCATCGATTAGGAGACTATTGATCAGTGTTGTTCTCACCAAAGCTTGAACACTATAACCGCTACTTCAAACTCCAAAGTCTTTTATGCATTAGACCACTGACGCATGTAAACTATCTGTTGTTATTATTTCTTGATACTTGTCGTGGGATGAAAGGCTCGTTCTGAATTCTCCTGCTAGCCATAACCAAGTCGATCATTTATTATTATTTGTCCCTTGGGTTCCTAGTGGAACATAGGGCTTCACTAGCACACCTCCATTCCACTCTGCTCTCTGAAATCTTTTCAGCTTAGCTCCACGACAGCCCAAAAGCTCTCATTTCTTCCTCATACAATCTCCTCCAAGTGACCCTCACCTCGGACGCCCAACTCGCTGTTTCCCATCGGGGTTCAACTCGAGTGCCTGGCCTTTATGCGTGATGTCTCCGAATGGTCTTCTCAATGTGTGCCCAATCCATCTCCACTTCCTTCTGCATATTTTTTTTGGCGATAGGTTCTTGGTTGGCTCATTGTGGGGCCAGAACTCCTTGTTGCTTATTCATACTACTATGGCCATCTGATCTTCAGTAACGAGCCAGCGTAGGCAGCTGTTGATGAATATCTGTAGTTTGTTGCAAATACTTTTCGTGACGCTCCAAGTCTTTCAACCATAACACAGAAGCACTGACTTGATTGACTGAGTGTTGAAAATCTGGATCTTGTTCACTCTTTATGCTGTGTGCAGTGCTGTAGATTTCCCAACTGGCTTTAGGTTAATGAACTCCTGTCTTGCTTTCCGATCCTTGCTTTGACGTCCTAATCTGTGCCACCTGTAGTTGGAACGATGGTTCCTAAATAGGTGAAAGAGACTACTTACTTTAAATTTCTCCCGTTGATGATGATTGGAGCTTGTTGTTGTTGTTAATGGTGGTGGTTAGGCATCCTCATTAACTCTACCTCTGTCTTCTCTACGTTCACTAAAGTCCCGTCCTCGCTGTCCTGCCCTGTCTCTTCTCTCAACTTGCTGGATTTTGCCTGTAGACCTTCAACTTTGTGTGACATTAGACACAAGTAATTGGTGAAATCCAAGTCTCCTAGGATCTTTTCTCCGGTCCAGCGTATCACTTTCTTCGTGCTCCTCACAGTTTGCTGCATGATCCAGTCCACCACAATCAGGAAGATCATGCGTGATAGTAGGCGACAGCCTTCTCCCTCTCCTGTCTTCACTTCAAAGGCCTCACTGAGCTTCCCGTTGTGAATAACTTGTCACATGGCGTCTTCAAATGGTTGTTGAATGATGTTGATAGAGGTTTGTGTTATTCCGTAGTGTTGAAGCAGTTACCTGCTAAATTACTTATCGGTCGACGCTATCGAAGGAAGGCCATTTCAAAGTCGATGAAGTTGAGGTAGGGTTGAGTTGACTGACATTCTATACTCTGTTCTATGATGATGCATAGCGTTGCAGTTTGGTCCGCACGTGAGTTGTACCTCCTGAATCCAGTCAGCAGGTCTTTTCCGGTCGTTGGTTTGAATCCAGTGCATCCTTTAATCTCTTCAGGACGATGCTGCTTAATATTTTTATTCGAGTGGATAGAAGCATGATTCCTCACCACTTCTTGCAAAGACTTAGGCCTCCATTATTCGGGTGTTTGACAAGGTAGCCCTTCTTTCAACCATTGAGCAGGTACTTTCTCTTCCTTCCTTCCTGACCTTCTGCAATAATGGTGTGAGCATCTCCGCTGTTGTTCCTACGTCTGTTCTCAGTGCTTATGGTGGGATTCCATCTGGTCCTGCTACTTTCCTGGATTTCAGTAGCCTTATGGCGTTCACGACTTCGAATTTCGTCGTTGGAGGGCTTGTGTTCACTAGTAGTTCTGTAGGTGGGCTGCAGGTGGTATTTCTAGATGAAGTGTAGGTGGTGGTGTTGGTCGATTGAAGAGCTTATTGAAGTGGTCAGACCGTCGTTTCCTTTCTCTCTCCACTTTCCTAATTCGATTCCCTTCATCATCTTCTGTTGACTTCAACTGTGTTGATCTCATCCAGGATGGATAGTAACCTGTTTATTCAATACAGTGTTGTCAGTTCGCTCCTATCAGCGACCTGCAGACTGTTCTGCTTCACTTGCCTGTGTGTCGTAGAAGTGTGTTTTGTGTTTGCGTGCACTCTTCTTCACTTTTTTGTCCAGTGTAGTGTTTTATGCGTTGTACTCAGCTCTTTTTCTCGTGGTTCATCCTTGCACTGCACTGGTTTATCTTCTGCTTCACCATCCTCCTCTCCTCTCCTCTCTCTATCAGCTTCCATGTATTCTTCGAGATCCATTCCTTATCTTCTTTCTTCTTCCTTCCTAATACGGCTGTGCAGGTTTCTTTCCACATCTTTTTCAGTGAGTTCCAGTGTTCTTCCACACAGGTTTCTTCAGGCATGTTGCTCGATATCTCCCATTTTCTTCTGATTACTGGCTGACGTGAAGATTTCCTTTGTAGTTTAGTCCTTCAGTTTCCGAGTGTTGAACTTGAACTGTGGTCTATCACCAGCTTCCTTGAAGGCTTTCAACTTGATTTGGAAGGTTTCTTGCACTAGACAGTGGTCTGAACCTGCATCTGCTCCTCTTCTTGATCCTGTGTCCAGTAGGCTGTCTGAGTCTACACTTACTTGAGATTGAGATGAAGTTGATGTGACTTTTAGTGTACTGCGTCCATCTGGTGAAATTCGTGTCATCAAGTCAATCATAACAATAAATATTCAAGAGATATCCAGGCATGTGATAGAATCCATCTCCCATCAATAGTCGACCGGTTCTATCCAGTATAACAACGGGGAATTACAAGTATGAACAAACTAATTAAACGCATACAGATTACATTTGAAGACTACGTAGTTTTATGAAAAGATAACTTCTACCTAGGTCGAGACATTTCATTACATAATAGAACAGTGGTTATAATTAAATGTGTCATTTACATCTACCTATCAAACGAAACTGATTTTTAATTAGTATCAGAAGAAAAAGCATAGTATCCGACTAAATACCCTATTCAATGTTGAATAATTGAATTGTTTATGCATTATCTTATAACACGAGCATGGTATACATTCAATAAATCATCTTTTAACATGATTATTCTTGTTGTCTATGTCATATTCTGTTAGATTAGATGATTAGTTAAAGAGGCTAAGAAAATGTTTTAACTAAAATATACATTGAAACATGAATGTTGTACAATATAATGTTTGGCAGTAATGACTAAAATTTGAACATTTAAGACGCACAAAAATGATGTTAGAGCTAATCAGTAATTTGAAATAGTAGTATAAGAGTTTATCTATATGATGATGATGATGATTTTGATTTAAAAACGAAGTTGTTCACAGTAGGGTATAAATTAGTAGACGGTGACACGCATATATATTACACAACCAGCTAAGCTATGAGATCCATCTACTGACTGAGTCTCAGCTTCAATTTAGTCAGCAAGAGTTTCCTGTAGTCGGACACATTCAATTCATGCAATCGAATATCTTCAGATCATCTGAATCTGACTAGCTAACTTATTTGAATCGGCTGTTTAGTAGTAGTATAGTTCGTTAATTCATTACATTTTTGTGTCGGAGATTATATCTTACTTATTATACCATCTAGATGTTTTATGATGGAAACCTTGTTGACACGATAGTTAGGTAGTTGAAAAAATACTCACCTATTAGATATGACAACATGAACCAAGTACTCTATAAATCATTTGCTGACTGATTGAAGTTTTATCATTTTTATGGACTCGCTGCCTGTGAATCTATAAATTTAATATCTGAATGTATCCGAAGTAATAATCTTCTTATTACATTATTGGCAGTAGCGAAATATTTCAGAGGGACAATGCTCAAACATATATCTTTCATGCTTAATTTATTACTATTCAAATTTAGGTTTTACTTAAGCAGAAATATGAAGATGATGGTTAGATTATCGAAAAAGATTTTACCTTTAGAAATCTAAGTTGTGATAGTAGCAACATTATCAGAGCATTTACAAAATGAGCGTTAGTTTTATGTCCAACTATATTATACATCAATTGCGAAACTAATAAGAACGTGAGAGAACTAGGCAGTTACTTCATCGCATTATTGAAGTCCTTAGCAGGACAAATATTCAACAATTGTATTAGATGGTGTTCAGTTTTTATCATGAAATGACAAGAATAAAAGATTTTGGGGTACTTCATTCTTACCCTGACGGTCCTTGGTTCCGTCTTAGTCATAGTCTGAGAACTCACTGCTAAGATGTTCTATACTACATTGAAACAGGTAATATTTGGTCTCAGATTTTCAATCGTTCTACAGGTGATATCAGTCTGTGATGAATACTATCTTGAAATCAATCGGTTTGCCACAAACCTTGAACTAAATTACATAATGTGTAATTAATTTGTAGATTGACTACTGTTTAACTGTCAAGTAAGACAGCATTATAGACACAAATAACTAAACGCTTGTTTTAATTCAATATAAATTTACATTTAATTATATCTGTTTATGTTTATTTGACTTTTTTGTCTAGAAATTTGACTGTTCATTTGCAAACGGTGATGTAATCTATCGTCATGAAGGCAATCCATTGATAAATCATGATCATGTACAAGTGACAATATTTTTCTTTCGTAATAATAATTCAGTTGTACAAACTGTTGATATAATGATTGATATAGAAGATCCACCTAAATACCAATCATTAAATGTTTCGATTACTAACCAAATAAATTATACGCTAAATATGGATAATACAAAGATGGGAACAAAAAAGAATATTCAAGAGCTTCGATACCTAAGCGTAGAATTGTAGTATTAAAGGAATTGAAAGTGAAGAATTTACGAGCTACAAGTGAAAGTATCAGTTCAGAAATATTGAAAATACGGTGAGTAAACAAATATTTACCTTTTATGTCATATTAGTTCGGTGGAGGCGAGGTCATGAGTAAGCACTGCTTGAGAGCCCTGTACTAGGACGAAACAGCTGTCCAGTACTCTCAGGTTTCGAGTGTTCCTTCAAATGATGCCAGTTCATGATTAATACCAACTTGAGAAATCTCTAAATCCCTATAAGCTCTAAAATTTAATCGACAACTGTCAGCAAGACGTTTCTGCAACCTCGATGGAACTGATGTCACGCGTGAAATTTGAACCCATATGATATAATACTACAATCAGTTATGTTACTCCTGAACTTCTGAGGCCATTACTGAACTATTGTATGACTGAGTGAGGTACATTGATTGCTTTCCCTCCACTGACCAATCAGTATACAATTTATTCATTTTTACGGAAATTGTTGTTCGCATGATTGCATTTCAGTGTAACTTTTGCAATATATACCGCTACAATTTTTTTATTTTGAGGCTAACAATTTTTAATAGATATTCACGAGGTTAATAGTATAATTATTTGTCCATTGTGTTCCTAGTGGAACGTATGGCTTCAGAAGCACGCCTCCATTCCACACTCTTCAGTACAGTCTTCTCAACCTGGCTCCACAACTGCCAACAAGCTTTCATTTCTTCCTCACATAATCTCCTCAATGTCACCCTCGCCTCGGACACCTAACTCGTCGTTTCCCATTTGGCCTCCACTCGGTCACTTGACCTGGCGTGGTGCATGATGTCTCTGAATGGTCTTCTCAGTGTATATACAATCCAATCCAATCGAACTCCCCTTTCTTCTGCATATTTGTTGGGTGATAGGTTGTTGGTTGGTTAGTTCGTTGCCAGCCAGCCAGCCAGCCAGAGTTTCTTCTTGCTTATTCTTTCTGGCCTTATGATCTCCATCTTTGGTATCGAGTGAGGGTAGACGGCAGCTTTTGGTTGATGTATGTCTGTGGTTTGTTGGGAATGCTTTTCGTAACGCACCTAGTCTCTCAACCACCACGCGGAAGCACTGACTTATTTGACTGAATTAGTGTTGAAAATGCGGATGTTGTTCACGCTTTATGCTGGATGCAGTAGATCTCCATAGTGGTTTCAGATTAATGAAGGCCTGTCTTGGTGTCTTTCCTATCCTTGCTTTGACATTCTCATCTGTGCCTGTGCCGCCTGTAGTTGTAACGATGCTGCTTTTCTTGGGTAGATGAAGGAGGCTACTTCCTTTAAGTTTCTCCCGTTGATGGTAATTGGTACTTGTTGTTGTTGTTGTTAGGTATCTTCATCACCTCTGTCTTCTCTACGTTCACGTGAAGAAAGTCCGGTTTTCACTGCACAGCCCCTTCTATCAACTTGTGAGTTTTCATTTATTGATCTTCGAGTTTGTGCGAAATTAGGCATAAATCATCATCGGCGAAATCCATACCTTCTAATGACATTGTTAAGATATGCTTAACAATTTGCCTTCAGTTATATCGTAACGCTTTCTAATAGGAAATATGATTGGTCAATCAACAAGAAAGTGGATTATGGAATGAATCTTCAGAGGGCCATATAGGTGCTTGTTTCATTTTTCAAGCCCAAAGTTAACACTTACTACATCAATGACATTTCTTAATTTCGAAATTAGTTGTCCTCAAAAGTCAACATAATAAAATGAACAACGTTGTAATGAAAGGAATCTTCAAACCATTTAGTCCCTATGGACTAGTCAATAGAATAGCAATCCATTTGGCTAAACTTACTTCAACTTCTGTAAGCAGCAATCAGAAGAATAAATCTGTGCTCTAAGCAAAACTGAAAATAAGTGTGATAGTAGGTGATAACGAATGATTCAGAAGGAATGTTTGAGAACTGGTTTTGAGTATATAACTAGGCCAATAATATAAAGAAATTAAAATCATGAATTAAAGTGAGTTATTTGTCATTGTTACACAAGTCTTCTGAGTGAACTACTCAAATCTAAACTCTGGATGCAGAAGTTACAAAGTCAAACGGGATCATTTGTAACAAATTATTCAAGTACATTTTATAATACGGGAACTTGCCCACCTACATAATACGAAGTGAACTAGAAACCGTTCGAATTTTGACAGATTTCGCTAACTTCTATTATCATAGTCATGCCATTTACTGATTGTTGGCTGGTAGCGGGATTTAGTATGTAATTTTTGTCTCATTTTGAACTCATCAGCTGTATGTACCCACATCCCATTTAGTGGTGGTGTACTCAGTAATACTTGAACCTAGAACTTACTAATTAAAACGCTAAAGATTAACAGATTGTTCTGCATGGTATCTCAACTACTTAGCCCATTGATTATTGGATAGACGAAGAAGATGAATTTCTCGGTGGCTTTAAGTGCTATTTCTAACCTATGTACTTCTCCTTATGCTAGATATCTTGGATATGATTGAAGGTTAGAACATGCACCGGCTACTTTATCTGAAAGATAAAATCTCAACTGTGAATTAGATGGTGACACGACATTTAATTGACATGTCTATCCATAGAATAAAGTTTTTTCCAACTACATATAGTGTCAACATTACTGTGGTATCAAAATGTGTAAAAGAGTTTTTGTTCCAGGCTTAAAATTTTACAACCAATTAATTAGCGATCGGATTGGTTTTACTGGGTAGGGTTTCTAGCCCTATGCTCAACCTTCCCTCTTTTTCCAGTTTAAGACCGGCTAGTAATTGGTGAACTAGCTAACCAGTTGAGATGCGATACTGACTTTTCAAAACTGACGGAGATACATATATTTTAAATAAGTCAGAGGTATAAACCGAAGTGATATGGCATCACAGTGATTTATTTGTAGAAGTTATGAAGTAGATATTGTATGCGTCAAGTCCGAATCACTGACTATATGTATCAGCTTCCTAACAAGTTCGTATAAGAGCAAACGTTAAGCACTGTGATAAAGTATAATTATATATTAGATTGTTCACTGGATATGGTACAGAGTGATGCTGTATAATTGACGTTTCGAGCGTAATTTTCCGCTTTTATTGACATCCAAGTAATCATACTACCTTCAAGCTTCCTTTAAATAATTAAACAGTTTTTCATTCGTTTATTTTAATGACTCCAAAACTTTCCATAAATATGTTTGCTACGATACTGGAGTTTCCATCACCTCTGCTATTCTCTTATATACTTTGCCTTGAAATGTGAAAACTGTGGGAGCTTAACACAACCTCATCCCTAGCATAATTTCCTCCATGGAAACTTTAGTTCTGTTACTGAGTTCATGGTGAGTTGTGAGATCATTTCTAAATGCTCCAAGTGCCGGATTCATTGGTATATTTGTATTAGATATATTTATGTACAGTTAGGAATAAAGGCATTAGGAACACTCAACCCACCACAAACGTATGGTGGGTATATATAGATGACATAGAGAACATATCTAGAGTTATTTTGAAGACATTAACTCTCTAGTAGATCCAATCTAATTCATTTATGAATTAGAAAACGTAAAGGAGAATTACCTATGTTAGATTACAAAATCAAGAGGGGAGAATATGAAAGCTTAGATATCAGTGTTTATACGGAACCAACACAATAGAATTGATACTTGGATTTCACATCATCTCACCCTATACATGTTAAGATTGGTTTGATAGAATGTCTATGTAATCGAGAAATGAAACAAGCAAAGAGACACTAATCCTTAATAACTATCCTCCAGAATTTATCAAAAGTTTTATAAGGACCGATAAGAGAAAAAGTGATAGTACTAGTGATGAGCACAGCATGGTTAAAGGGAATTCAGATCCTCTGTGGTATTGCCGTATAAAAAAGGTAAATGGGAAATTTTACGTAGAATTCTTAACAGTACTGGAATTAAGGTGGTACTTAAACCCACAAACTTGGAGAGAAACTTTGTAGGCTAAAAGATCCAGTTGAGTCAATTAGGAAAAATGACCTAGTCAATCAAATACCCTGTGATAATTGTGGGGTCAAGTATTTAGGATAAAGTAGCCAATCTGAGTCAGTCACAATAGCACAGCAGAAACAGTTATCGGAACACACGATGGTAGACCTTACTAATATAAGTAATTAAGAGAAAAACTAACTATTGCTCTACGTGCACTGTCCCTTAATCACGCAATAGGTTTGAAGGGATAGGGTAACGTTTCTATAAACCAGTATACCAGGTAGAGGGAGAGATTGACCACTGAATCTTTGTTCATTGAATCTGTCAACATGTAACACGTAACAGGAATCATTTATGACATCCTGTAAATATTTGGAAAATTTCACCACGGTTAAAAAAAGAATGAAAAACTATTGGACTACATAAAAAGAGTTTCCTAGTTGTACGATTACTTTAATCCGGATATGAGCAATAAATTCTGTTCGTAACGTCATCCGGTATATTGTACTGTCTCACACTGCATTTCATATCAAATAAATAATTTTATTTTTTTTTTTTATTAGTCCCTTGGGTTCCTGTGGAACATAGGGCCTCAGTAGCACTCTCCAGTGACCTCTGTTCTCTGAGATCTTTTGAACCTGGTCCACGACAGCCCACAAGCTCTCATTTCCTCCTCGCACGACCTCCTCCATGTCACCCTCGGACGTCCAACTGTCGCTTCCCGTGGGGACTCCACTCGAGGGCCTGACGCGTGATGTCCTCAGTCGGCCTTCTCAGTGCATGCCAATCCGTCTCCACTTCCTCCTGTATATTTGTTGCGTGATAGGCTCTTGATTGGTTCGTTCCCAGAGCTCCTTGTTGCTTATTCTTTCTGGCAATCCATCTGATCTTCAGTAGCGAGCAGCGTATGCAGTTGTTGATGAATGTCTGTAGTTTATTGGAGATCCCTTTCGTGACGCGCCAAGTCAAATAAATAATTTAATATATGAAATTCTTACTAGCCTGTAGATAAGTTTAGGGAATAGGTGATATATAGCATGCGATCTAAGTGAATCGTGGCTTCATTTTGGTTACATGCATAAATCTTAAACTAGAAATTCATGCAAAAGGAACACATTTATCAAAAGTTAACCGTATTATTTTTTTTATTTTCATTGAAAAATGACTTGGAAAAATGTATGTTAAAAGTCATGTACTTATTGAGATATCTGCTTTTATAAAATAGTATGTTTTAGCGAAATATTTTATTGCCAATGGAATTTTTTTCAATTCTATATCATTTACCATCATTTTTATACTATTTTCTGTATTGTATTTTCTAATTTTGTTTAGTTATGATTTAGACAAAGAAGAATGTCGTTTATCATATGTTAGTCCAGAGTATTTATTATCAAAAGGACAATTAACAAATAAATCTGATTGGTCTATATTAACAAGTTTAGGTGGTACATTAACACCGAAGCTTGGTTTACCATTAACTCCAGGCAGTGCTGTTGGTGGTGTACGTCGATGGCCATTATTTGGACAAATTGTACGTTTTAATCGTACTATGGTTGACTATATCGATCGAGATTGTCAAGAAGCTCTACTACAAGGCTATAGGTAATCTATGATTATTATTATTACTAATTATATGCTTTACAACATTATGCTATGCGGTTGATGTAAGAATTCAACAACGAAAAAGCTCCACTTGCTTTCTTTATACTTAAATACATTTATTTGAGCTATTAATTCGATTTTATCATCATCAACTGAATTTCTAGGACTGTGTTCAACAAACTTAACACCATTCTGAGATTTAATTATGGTAATTTGTTTGATTGCATCCATCACTTCAAACACCAAGGCGTTATCCACTAGGTCACGGAGGCATGATAGTCACTTCATCGTACAACAAATATTAGCTATTGCTATTGATGAATATACTTGTAATTCTTCTTTTGGTTTGCTAGATCGAATTGTTTGACGTCTCGGTCGAGTCTCGGAGGGAACATCACTCACTGAGGTGCAGGTATATTTAGTTGGCGTGTCCAAAATAGGATGAAATACGCGTCCTGCATCTTTTTGCTAGCCACACTCAAATAAATTACCAAAATTAATATTCAGGCAATGTAGAGGCATCTGCATAGGAGCATATATGCCAATAGAGTTTGAACAATTCGATCCAGTAAAAGAAAGAAGAATTACAAGCGTACTCATAAATAGTAATAATTCTGAGTGTCAATAAGAAGAAACTAGAGAATGCAGTTCACTAGACAATAGATTATACCTATTTTTCAAGGGTACTTGTGACATTTTCTTGATCCTCAAGTCGCAGTATATGAAGCGCCTTTTGAACGTGCAATCTATTGGTTGACAATTGAGTGTTTGTAACTAAGGTTTATAGCTCAGCGATAAGAAGTAAACCAAACTTGATGAATTAGACCTTAGCAAGTAGTTATTCTTTCATTCACTGTTTCCTATGGTTAATTCCAGTTAATCGCTAAACATATTTGTAAAATTTTTAGAAACACTGAAAATCTATATGAGTACACCCAATCTCTACTAGAAATGATACTAACGAAATCCGAGCTTTGACGCTTTTTTCTTGGTTGTTTCATAATCAGGTTATGTAGCTTTACCAACACTTACTTCTATATGAACATTAAACGATTATCCACCATTTGGCTGTAAAAAAATGGAAATTAAGGGCAGAAGACACAAGGAGGCCTCAGATGTTCAGGTACCGTTATTTTCATACTGAAAATAAAACTTGATGTGAGGCTTTTCCTATCTGATGACTATCAAAACCTAACAGCAAAATGCAGTACGTCACAGTATCATATCATTTAGATCGGTGGGAATATTACAGACTCGAAGAATGGACTTTCGTCAATGATGTGCAGATAGCTGAATCATTCATCTAATGCTCACCAGTTCACGTAAAGTTTTTACCCTTGTAGCCTTTGGTTGCAGCATAACTGAGACCAGCTAGTCAGTTAAGTGAATGATACTAGTTTACGTGTATCTCACTAAGAATTATTAGTAGCTTATTAGTACATAAAATAATGTTCACTATCCCCGGTTAGGTAAATTTCAAGGCAAAATATTTCGATACTCTTAATGATAAGCTCTAAAATGAATCATACCAACACATTCGGTGAAGTTGAAGATAGCGATAAATCATATCCACTGAATTCCTATAACATTATATATACTTTCTTCTTGCTTGGTAGACCGTGTAGTTTATCAACATTCAACTGTTTCGATAATAAAGGCTATGAGAGTGAGCAACACGAAATATATATATATATATATATATATATATATATATATATGTTACCACTCAAAATACAGAATACTCTTTTTGGTAGCAACTTCAGGCAAGAAATTTAGTTGAAAATATTTAACAGTTTTCTTGAGAGAATTAAGTGAATGTGGTCACTGAAATCTCATTCATTGGCTGAATGGTTAGCACCTTCACCATGAAACCTGAATGTCCTGACTTCGAACCCTGATGGGGTTGTGGGTATGCATTGTTGAGGAGTCCTATACTAGGACGAAACATCTATCCAGTGTTCCCAGGTCTTCATTGGTTCTCCAAATGATGTTAGTCAATGATGAATGCTACCCACAAGTAGACTGTTAAGCTTTATGGATAATTGTATAACTTATACATGTATGAGTTTAACGATTTGAGATAGCCGTGGTCAGCAGCTAACTGGTCTCGTAGTTCAGTTGGTAGAGCACCGAGAGATAACCCGATTTTCACTGGTTGCGACTTTGCTGCGGTCCGGATTTTCATTTCACCTTCAGTCGTCACGCATTATATACGTATGTCAATTACGGTGATAAGTTGAGTGTACACTGTATCTACTGAGTGATGATTGGACATTGTGAACGTGTACACATAGTAAATTTTAACGTTGCATTGTGTCTAATGAGTGATTAGTATAAAGAATGGGATGAATTCATCAGAAGGATAAGAATTGAGTAGATATATTATCATAAATTGGTTAAAATGTGGAACGGTTACGATGATGTGAACAATTTTAACAGGAATACTCAAGGATTATTACAATAAAAGAAAAGAAAAAAATTTAGTTAAAAACCATATTCCTCTGAAAGAAAACAAGGAGAATGAGAGATAAAAAGGTTAAGAAGGGAACAAAAAGGTTCGGAGAATACTGCCCATCAGTATGAGACCAAGGAAGGAGTATGACTTCAACGTATTCTTTCAGCATACAAATTTCATGGTGAATTGATCATATATCTTCAACTCCCGCTACATGAAGAATAATTAAACGTATGACAAGTAATAGTCTTCGGGACATGGTATATCATAGCGAAAAGCATGGTAATGTCTGTTTAATCCCATGTGTCTAGCAGATATGGCAGAATAGAACTCCTACTGGAGTTGGCGTTAACCTGTGCAAACCAAACCAGTAGATGACTTCATATCCTTCCACTTAGGTGTCTAATAGTGCGCCTCATGTAATTTGTTCTAGGCGAGGGGTTCAGCTGACATATATATGTGTATAAAGACCAAAAGTTACTTCACAACACTGCGTAAAGATAGAGATTGACCATAAAAAGGTGTCTGAAACTTCAGTATGGCTTTTAAAGTGAACTTTGCCAGTGAACTTTATACGTTTGCAAGGTAGTATTCACCATGGACCGACACCAGTTGGAGAACCAGTATAAACCTGGGAGCGCTGAACAGCTGTTTCGTCTTAGAATGAGACTCCTCACCAGTGTGCACCCACAACCTCGCGAAGGGTCAAACTCGAGACTTTCAGATCTCATAGCAAATGTATTAACTATTCAGCCACTACGTTGGAAGTTAATGATCCATACTGTCCTACTTCTGCCAATTCGTGATGTAGTCCAACTATCCACTAAGGTCTTCAGTTGGCGTATGCTTTACTTTCTACTTGATCGACCCCACAGGTCATGGTTTCTCATCATAACTTAGGGATATCCGTCTCTAAGGCTGTCACTAACGAACACTATATAGTAATGTATTTTGAGGTGACTAGGAGCTTTATTGATATGTTTATCAACCATCGATTTTTTATCACCGTTATTTTTCCATGACAATCGTGAGCTAACAGAAGTTGGAAATATGGAGCACTGGATTATGACCCAGTGGCTCAATGGTAACGCGCTGCCGCGGAACCTGAAAGTCGCGGGTCGTGTGGGGTCGTGGGTGCGCACTGGTGAGGAGTCCCATACTACGACAAAACAGCTGTCCAGTGCTCCCAGGTTTCCTTTGTTCCTCCAGCTGATGTCAGTCTACGATGAATAACAACTTGAAATAACACACTGGACACTATTGTTTTAATGTGGTTTGTTCATTCAATGTTCATTAGATTCCACTAACAGATAGATATTCAAATCATTTAATTTCTATGATACAAAAAGTATATGAATTTGTAATGTTATAATTAGTCAAGCCTTTAAAAGAAATTGTGATAATAATTCCTAAACACTTGTTGATTGTAGGCCTCAGAAATTCGCCTGTACCTGTTTTATTGGGTTATACTTGTAGAAGTGAGAAGAAAAAAAGTGGAAGAAACTAATATTCCTTTCCATATTTTTATTGTTTCATTTGTCAGGGTAAATGTATATCATATTTAAATCGCTATCCTTTTACTTATTAGAAAATTAATTCAGTAGCATATACCTTTTAATGATTAATTATACGGTTTCATTAATGATTGAAATTACAATTTACGGTCAAATATGAAACGAATAATTAAGAAGTTCGAAGTAATCTGCCTTAGAAAAAAGGTCCCTCATTTATGTTCACCGTTATCAGTGACGATCCAGTTTTCACTATTCTATTAATATAACAGTAAAATTTTGGAACTATGGTAAAAGTAAATTTATTTCAGTTGATTTATTTTGGTTGTATTGTGTTCTCTGAGCTGGGTTGTTTAGTTGTGAAGCTTCCATCGTCTTTCTGGAGGATATTATCAACACCAACTTCAGTGTGAAGTGATCTGTCAATATTTTTCTCCGTGAGTGATTTAGTGGCTTGCTCTGACGATGCGGTCTGTGATTGGTTGGTAGCCCGCTATTCACGAAACTTTATCGGAAGATACTTATCCCGTGCATCATCAACTACAAATTCATAGACAGATATAAATAAAGGTATCACCTAGCCGTACATAAGAACATTTCAGAAATCACGACAAGATTGCTGGGACCACTTGGAATCGGCGTGGCTCATAAACCAATAAATTCCCTACAAACATTATTATGCAGACCAAAGGAAGCGACAACCAGAGAAAAAAAACCAAATATCATTCTCAAAATCAACTGCAATAACTGCAGTCAACACTGCATTGGAAAAGTGGTCGCCCTCTTCGCCTTCGTCTACATGAACACAGATTGGCTATTAAACATCATGACACTTCTTCATGCATTTCAATGCACATGGATAATTATGGATATGAATTTGAATTTCGACAATGTAGAAATTTTAGACAGAGAGAGGAAACAGGAAGAATATCAGAGAGTTCCTAGAAGCTTGTCATTCAGGTCAGTCAGCCAGCCAGCAATCAACATATGTAGAGACACGAACTCAATCTATCAAGCAATGAGAAAAATGATGA